TCTCATCCCAGTTATCCATAGTCATCCCTAGTCATCCCTACTCATCCCTAGTCATCTTTAATCATCCCTTGTCATCCCAGTCATCCTTACTCATCCCTAGTCATCCATGGTCATCCCAGTCATGTGTAGTCATCCCTAGTCATTGCTAGTCACCCCTAGTCATCCCAGTCATCCCTACTCATCCCTAGTTATCCCAGTCATTCCTAGTCATCCCTAGTCATCCATAGTCATCCAAGTCAAGCCTAGTCATCCCTAGTCATTCCTAGTCATCCCAGTCATCCCTAGTCATCCCTAGTCATCCCTTCTCATCCCAGTTATCCCTATTCATCCCTAGTCATCCCTACTCATCCCTTGTCATCTTTAGTCATCCCTTGTCATCCCAGTCATCCGTAATCATCCCTAGTCATCCATAGTCATCCCAGTCATGTCTAGTCATCCCTAGTCATCCCTAGTCATCCCTAGTCATCCCAGTCATCCTTGGTCATCCCTACTCATCCCAGTCATCCCTAGTCATTCCTAGTCATCCCTGTCATCCCTACTCATCCCAAGTCGTCCCTAGCCATCCAAAGTCATCCCTTGTCTTACCAGTCATCCCTAGTCATCCCTAGTCATCGCTAGTCTTCCATAGTAATCCGTTGGTATCCCAGTCATCCCTAGTCATCCCTAGTCTTCTTTGACGTCCCTGGCCATCCCAGACATCCCTAGTCATCCCTAGTCATTCCTAGTCATCCCTAGACATCCGTATTCATCCATACTCATCCCAGTTATCTCTAGTCATCCTTTGTGATCCATAGTCATCCCTTTTCATTCCAGTCATTCCTAGTCTTTCCTAGTCATCCATTGTCATCCCTTTATCATCCCAGACATGTCTAGTAATCCCTAGTCTTTCTTAGTCATCTATAGTGATCCCTAGTCATCCCTAGTCATCCCTAGTCATCCTCAGTCATCCCCAGTTTTTCCAGTCATCCATAGTCATCTCTAGTCGTCCCTAGTCATAACACTCATCCCTTGTCATTCCTTGTCATCTCCAGTCATCTCAGTCATCCCTTGTCATCCCTAGTGATTCCTAGTGATCCCAGTCATCCCAGTCATCCCTAGTCATCCCTGGTCATCCCTAGACATCCCTAATCATCCCTATTTATCCCTGTCCTCCCTAGTCATCTGTAGTCATCCCTAGTTATCACTAGTCATCCGTAGAGATCCTTACTCATCCCAGTCATTTCTAGTCATCTCTTGTGATCCATAGTCATCCCTTTTCATCCCAGTCATTCCGAGTCATCCCTAGTCGTCCATAGTCATCTTTCGTCATCCCAGTCATTTCAAGTAATGCCTAGTCATCCTTAGTCATCCCTAGTCATCCCCAGTCATCATTAGTGATCCCTAGTCATCTCTAGTCATCCCTGTCATCCCAAGTCATCCCTGGTCATTCCATATCATCCGTAGTCTTCCCTAGTCAGCCCCAGTCATCCCAGTCATCCCGAGTCATCCCTTGTCATCCCTAGTCATCCCTAGTCATCCCAGTCATCCCTAGTCATCCTTAGTCATCCCAGTCATCCCTAGTCATCCCTAGTCATCCCTAGCTATCCCTAGTCATCTCTAGTCATCCCAGTCATCCCTGGTCATCCCAAGTCTACCATAGTCATCCCAGTCATCCCTAGTCATTCCTAGTCATCCCAGTCATCCATAGTCATCCTTAGTCATTCCTAGTCATCCCTAGTCATCCCAGTCATCCCTACTCATCCCTAGTTATCCCAGTCATTCCTAGTCATCCCTAGTCATC